CTTATTTATGATACTTATTTTATAAATAAATACTTATCTTATAAATAAATAAATGCACTGTATTTCTGATAAAATAAGCAAAAATTTGTTTTGTTATAAATGGGAACTTGAACGGTGCCTGTCCCTTAAACTTTAGGGGAAAGATTGGGTGACGACATTAAAGACAGTCAGAGCAATGCCTAGCACCTTCTAGTGAGAAATGTGCTTTTGCAACTTTCATTGTATTTATCATTATACCTCCAAGACATCCAGGTGAGTCATATAGGTGTGGTTTGCATTAATAGGCAAATGTGATTATTCTGTGATGCTGCAATCACTGTTTAGCACAGATTGGCTGATGTACAGATTAAAGGCAGAACATAGAAAACTGATGAGTGGACTCTGATATGCAGCATCATTTAATATGAAACAGAAGCAGCATTTGCCTACCAGGACACTCAGATGCTTGGTTCAAGAAATGGGACAGGTACAGCTGCAAAGAGTTGGACAGAAACAAAGTTCAATGCTTTCCCTATGCCAAATGACTTAACCTTAATTAAAACAGATGATCCAGGTGTGGTGGTCCACACCATTAATCTCAGCACTTGAGAGGCAGGGGTAGGTGGGTCCTTGTGAGTTTCAGGCCAGTTAGGGCTACAGTGAGAACCTACATAAAAAAGAAAACAAAATAGCATAAAAATACACACATATCACAATCGGAACTCAGGTTTGCTTTGCTTAGCAGGGGTTCTACTGGCTTGGGGGCAGAGGATTTGACCTGCAACCAGAGTCTTAGGCCCTGGGACTTATGTCTTTCCAACAAGCCAATTTATTTTAAGATTCAGATGGTTTTTATACATCCCAAGGAACTAACAGTCACGTGGGATATGGCAGTCACATACAAAGATTTAGGGTACAAAGACATTTAGCATTTAGTCTGTTAGTTGGCACCAGAAGGATGCTTAAACTTTTACTCAAGGTTATCAATGCCCATCCGGTAATTTATTGGCCACAATGTTTTATTTCTTAGAGCTAAAAGCATGGTGAACTTTTAGCTTTTAGCTCAGGAGTAAACTTTTAACTTGGCCTAATCTCTTAGCCAGGGATAGCTGAGTTATTTGTTCAGGACAAAGAGATGAGCTAAGGGTTGTTGACCAAGATGCTTTCCCACAGAGCAGGGAGCCTGCACTTTTATGACCAGGCCGCTTCCTCCTGCCAGCCCAACAGTGTTCTGCAAGGCAGGGACTATCAGAGCCACTGTTTTCAGTGCCCCTCCTTTTAGCAGAGAATGCAGCCTGGACTTAAAAGTTTTAGGCTCACCTTACCATAGGGCCTGGCATCCTGGTTTCCTACATATCACCGTTTCACAAAATGCTGATGTAATGTGCATGCAGGGGAATAAAACAACAAAATATTTTTCTCAGGTACAGTGGGATTGCCAGTTATTAATACTTCCAATTATGTAATTAACTGAACTTTAATCATTTGTTAAGATGGGTATACATTAGATTTATGATAAAAAAATCAGTCCCTAAAATCATTGTTACTTATTAAGCGTACTAAACACACAAATGTTACAGAAAGCTGTGAAATGAGGATGTCATACCCAATATTCAGGTAAAGAAATAAACTTGACAAATGCTTTGAATCCATCCTCTTAATTGAACAGTCTTTCCTTTGCATTCTGCTTATAACTCATAAGCAGAATGAGGTGTTCATAATCTTGCTTTATATTTGCACCATCAAAAAAGGCATCCTAAAATACTCTGTTTATGCTAATATA